CTGCTGAGCCGGTTGGCATGGCTGTGCCAGTGTTGCTTTATGAGGGTCCCTTGCACTCTTCATTCTCTGTCTGTTGAGCGCATCCGTTTATACCCACATCATTAGTAGCTGTGTTTTGAGATATGGGCAGTGAGTAAAAAGCAGAATATATGAGTGATGACATGCTAAGGGACATTAGAAGAGAGGAAGGAGGAAAGAAGGAAATAGAAGTTCTCCTCCCATAAATAAAGTTATTAAAAAAAATAATGTAGTAAGGAGTAAATTGGTTTAGGTTTTAGCAGGCTGGGTTTTGGTCCATTGATAAGAAAATCTTCCTAATTGTTTAAGTTGCTAAGAGGTTTCCCGGGAATTTTATAGCATCTGCACTGCTGGAAGTCTAAAACAAAGAAACAAAACGCTCAGGTTAGACTCGTGTCTTTGAGGAATGATGTGGGTAAAGCTGATCAAGACGTAAAGGTCAAGAGGGGAATTGTTGAGGCTCTTCCCAGGCTTGCTTTCCAGGATTCTGTGCTTCTGCTGTCTTAACTTCCTCCGAAGTTACAGTGACTTGCAGTAGACCTTAGCCAACCAAATAGTGCTGGTACACATATATTGGCTGACCAAGATGGCATAGAATTTTGTTGTTTATTATTTGATGATATAAATCATCTCCTCCAGCACATTACATCTGGTTTGTTTGCTACACACATCTTGTTACAGGTGTGTACTGTACCTTCTCATAACAAGGTTTACGTTTTCACTCATCAGAGCCTGTTTATGCTGTGTTTTATAACCAATATTGCCGTCAATTGCAGTAAGGTTCCTGAACCCATCTGAAAGACATTAAGTAGATGCAGGCCCTTTATTTAAGGTCTATGTTTTAAATAGGCTTTGTTAACTTGTTAGCAAACCTAAATCCGGTTATTCTTTTCAGAAGTTCGTGTGCCTTGAGCATATTTAGTGGTTGCATAATGGTTGCCTAGGAACCCGCTGCAACAGTTGTAGAAGAATCCTTTCTAAAAGGTCATTAAATAATTTGGAGTGTTACAGTATGTATGTTCTTCTACGTAGTAAGCCCGGAGAATACTGTTATTAAACACCACAAGTGGGCCACGTAAGTGCAAAGCACAAGTACAGGCTTATGCCACTAGGATTTTATGGAGAATAGGAGAGGTGGTTGAGAAACCTTTATGAGAAACGGGAATTATTTTATAACATCCTAAATGTGACAAAGTCAAAATACATAATTTTAAAATGTATGTCTGTATTTAAATTGTCTTTGCTCATTTTCATTTAACACACATGGTCTAATTTGATTTGTGCTTTAAGAAGCATAGAAATAATTTGCAGCAAAGCCAATTTGTAATACATATTTTTTAAATCATCATCTGAGTCCCTGGCTGAGAAGCAGAGGTTTCCAGGGACGTGTATCCGTAAGCTGCGTTCTCTTTGGTAGTGTAGTCCCCAAATACAGATGTGACTCTTGCAAGGATTTGTATTGGCTGAAGTATGCGGGGCTAGAAAGTCATCGAATCATGGAATGGTTTGGGTGGGAAGGGACCTTCAAGATCTCCTGGTTCCAACCGCCTGCCGTGGGCAGGGACACCTTCCACCAGACCAGGTTGCTCAAAGCCCTGGGTTAGTTCTTGCACCAGCCAGAAGGCAACGTCATGTAAAAAAAAAAAAAAAATCTGTACAAACCCCAGGTAATGTGGGCATTACTATTTCTACCCTTTTGCATAGCAGAACAAAGTAAGCTTCATGAACAATGTTTTTATGAGCATAAGGATAAATTTGCAGGTGGGCTTCAGCTGTACCTAAGGGCTGAAGCATTTGTTTATCGCTCTCTATGCCAGGAAATTACAGAACCAAACTTTTTTCTCTCCTGAACGCTTCTTGGGCTTTAGCTCAAACACTGGAAGTTTTGTTTTGAAGATGTAATAAATGCAGGAGAAAAGGGAGAAGTTTATTAGTGGATCATTTATCTAAGTGTGATTTTTGAGGTCACTACATTTGGTGAGGAAATAATAGCTATCTTCTGAAAAATTTTGTCATGAATGATCTAGTAAAGGAAGCAGCTCAGGAATTTTGTACTTTCCTTTATAATCCTGTAAGTAAAAGCAGCTTGGTTTGGATGTTGATATTTTCTTGATTTCAAACGATGTGTTTTTTCAATTGCAGCTCAACCAGCAGGAGTTCCAGAGATCCTAAAGAAAAGTCTGCACAGTTGCTCAGTGAAGGGTGAAGAGGAAGTTTTTCTGATTGGGAAGAACTTTCTAAAGGGAACAAAAGTGATTTTCCAGGAGAATGTTTCTGGTTAGTGTGGAAGCAGCAATGGCTTGGGGTGCTGAAGAGAGCGTGTTTGTGTTTACGTTGGTTGATGAAGTTTAGTTGTAGAGAATGAACTGAGAAGCAGAATCAAAGGCACTAAAATAAATTGCTCTATATGGATGTGCAGTAAATGATGCTTTTTAACTTTCATTTAGATGAGAATTCTTGGAAGGCAGAAGCTGAAATAGACATGGAATTATTTCATCAGGTACTTTTGTATTGTTGTTATTATTATGACAAAAACAAGACTCTGAATCTGTTTCCAAAGAAAAATCAAATAAGCCTTTTCCTATGCATTTATAGAAATAATATTCCTTTTCTTCAAATAAGTTCTTTAGTGAGTCTGGTAGAAAATCATTGTTTTGGGTTTATACAAGTGTAACTGCTCAATTTCCAAGTGGGAACTTAGGTACCACAGTAGGAGCATGGTATGTGAATGGGGCGAGCGAGTCTTTGCCCTTACAGACAATGTATTTAAAAGGCCTGATAGAGCTTTCCCAGCGGCTTTCCTAAGGACACATCAGATTTCTACTGGGTGGAAATACATTGTGTGTACGCCGTAGTCTTTAGACCTGGCTGAATTTCTGTTCCGCTTTGAAATGTTTTGCAAAACATTAGTTTATTCTTTTTGAGACAGCTAAGTATCTTTATGGACTGTTGGACTGAAATTAGAGAAATTTAGATGTAAATGATGTCTGACAAATGTCGCCTTGCTCCCACCTCTGAAGGCAGTATTCCATGCATGCACCGGTAGAAACGCTTTCTCACTTCTAGAGGGATAGCTGGTTGGGGAATAGACAGCCTATAGATCACTCATAGCTATTACTGTTGAATGATTGCAAGCCTATTTTTTGATGTCTGCTCAGTGTTAAATCCGCTTAAGTGTAACATGAAACTGCATCCTCCATCTGTTCACACTGAATACAAAGACGTGATTCAGCAGAACAGTGCAGTGTCTGAGTCCAGCAGAATTTGATGGCAAACTGATGGCAGTTCAGTAAGGCATGTTAGGCGTGAGCTTATGTACTGGACTCTGTATGTCTTTCCTTTCTTCTCCTTCTATTTAAGCTGTAAGTTGCCAATGAGCATCATATAGGCGGATTATTCAAACCTCTTCTAGCACACGTTAGTTACTGAAAGGGTAACTTGATCGCATTTTCCCCCATGTCTTTGCTTTGTATGGTGTCTTATCAGCCCGTTTCTTTGTTTTGATGAATGTAAGTACAGTTCAGGTCAATAATAATGAAGTAAGGTTTCTAATGTGATTTTTTTTCTTTTTAAATTGTTTTTGCATTGCAGAATCACCTTATTGTGAAGGTGCCACCGTATCATGACCAGCAAATAACCTCAGCTGTTTCTGTGGGAATATATGTGGTGACCAATGCTGGAAGATCACATGATGTGCAACCCTTTACGTACACTCCAGATACATGTACGTAAAATAGAAATCTGGGGGAAGGAATGGACAGTTTTACCTGCTAAGCATCTCATTTCTGATTTTGTAGTATTTAGTTCATACAAAAGAAATGTTAAGTATGCGGATCTTTTCAAACTCCTCTTGTGGGCAAGGTTTGCAATTGTTAAATAAGAAAATCTAAAGGCTTGGCTTTTCTCTTTTATGTGGCAGGTAGCTCAAACCGCAGCTGCATGGAGACAGCTGTTCTTCAAAGGTAGCATCCAGTTCTAGTGTAAGGCTTAAAATGAAGCTGAGCAGGAAAAAAATAGACACACTGCATACAGTGCACCAAATACAACTGAAAACCAGTATCAAGCTTTATCCTAAGGAATGCTGAAGTTTGACCCTATCATGTATTTTATCTGTGTTACAATACACAATGCAATTGCTGACTGGCTCTTTCACTTTTGGAAGTGAAAATGGTATTTTGAGTGCTGTGATCAATGGTGCATTCGCAGCCACAAATGGGAAGTTTATGTATGACTCAGAACGTTTCTCTGGGTTTCAGAGAACCTTAATTTCTTTAAGGTATAAGTGACTGTTTTGGTTTGCTGTGGTTTTTTTTTGCTTTTTTGTTGTTTTAACATAAGGAAGTTTTCAATGTGTTTTGTCTCAGCAGCTGGTACTCTCAATGTTAACGTGAAGAAGGAAATCTCTAGCCCAGCCCAACATTGTTCTTTTGAAGAGGCTATAAAAGGTACTAAGTTGGTTCTTACCGTTGTTGTTAATAACTTAACTGTAAATTCCTACCCGAATTTGGAGGAATGAATCAAATGTCCTGTGAAGATAAGTCTGTACTTATAAAATCTGGCCATATTCTTACAGTGAGGTTTGTTTCCTGATTCTGAATATTTTACTTCATAACTGTATTCCTTTAATTCTATTTTAATATGAGCTAGTATAGAACAAAAACTTTTTTGGGGAAAAACCCATTTGTTTTCATGCCTCAGGCCCTGCGGTCTAATCTTCATGTAATGCGCTTGCAAGGGAAGAAGGAGAAGACAGATGCCTAAGATGGCAGCTAATACAAAGGATTTAGAAACTGTGTAATGTTAATTTAAGCAAAAACACATAGAAAAGTGGTGGTGAGGGAAGAACTGAGTACTGAAAAACAAGAACATTTTTCGGAAGCTCTCCAGTTGTTGTATAAGATTGCTTTCAGAGGGTCGAGATGTGAGTGTTAATTCTCGCAATTTCAACTTATTCCCTTCCCTGAGGTGTTTTTCCTGGCTGTTCTGTACACGCAAAGCCTGTCATTTGGGAACAAGTTTTAGGTTTGCCTGGTTTTTAAGCATGAAGTGAATTGATCCTTCTGATATTGAAATGAAGTAGAGGAAGGAAATGTTTCTTAGTTGATTGTTAAAACTATGGTAGTGTACAAAGGTTAATGGAAATTTCCATAGCCTGCTCTGGTGAAAGCAGGTTGAAAGGTAGGCAAATTAACAATGTGATCACAAGTTTGATAGGAATCCATAGCTTCAGGTTAAAATCACGAAGCTCGTGTTTGAAGTTAATAGCTTGGTCTTGGCAGGGGATATATTTACAAGTTGACTTTACAACTTGTTAGGGAGGATAATACAAGATATAATGAGTTTAAAACTGCAGAGAATATTTGGGGTAGAAATATGCACAAGTATTTAGGGCAATGAAATAAGCTGATAAAAGGACTGGTAAGACTTCTAGTAGCAAGATTAGAGAGATGAGCAAAATAATAACTAATGTATCGGGGCAAGCCTGATGTCTGTCTAATTCAGTATGGAGGCTTAACCAAGGGAAGATACCAACTGCTTCAGGAGAATGTCTGCTGTTCCTAAGAACACAATGCGCTATTTCTGTTCCTCCATGTCCTCCATTTAATTCACATGCTAAATCTTAATTTACTTTGTTGTGTGGGTTTTCTGCTAGGCAGCTCTTTTTTGACGGTTCATTCCTGTACCTGTTCTACTCTAGGCTGATGATGAACCAGAGGTCAGACAATTTTGTCTGCTCTCTGTGCTTTGTCTCTGCATATGTCCCAGCCCATCCTTCCTCACTGTTCTGAAATGATAAAGACCAGGTGGGGATCCAGTGGGATGCTGCTTCCTTCCTGTTTCCTTTCACTGGGAGGAAAATCCTAGAATTCATAATCTCAAGTGGCCCCATTTCCAGCAGCCCTGGCCAAATAGAATGAGCTGTTGCTGCCAGGGACGTGTACAGCTACGTATCGAGCTACAGGGCCTTTCTCTGCCTATCACAGGCAATTTTAATCTTTGTCTCAGGTATTCGTGAATATTCCTTAAAATAATTCCTATTACAACATCTGCATATGTAACAAAAAAAAAAAAAAAAAAAAAAAGAACCGAACCATCTCGTGGCTTCCCAAAGCCATTACAGATTCTTAGCTCTAACATTTTAAGAGTCTGCACATTTGACAGACTTAAGTGGCAAGTTATATTTCAAGACAACAAATTTATAATTCTAAGCTGTTCTGTAAAACTTGAGGAAGATGGGGGGGTGTGGACAACCATGTAGTTCAGGTCTTTGCCACCTAACACTGAAGCACTGCTGGAACATTGGTTTTAAGTGGTTAAGGTTGGTTTCAGTTTCCAGCCTTGGGAGAAAAGGGAAGGAGGGGGTGTGTGCCTTGATAAGATGGTAACTATTCAGAAGCTCCAAACTAAGTGTATTACAAAAGTGTAGTAAAAGATTCAAACCAAGTGTTTCTCTGCTTTTGAGACTCCTTTGTCATTATTAATCTGAATTCTTTTTTTCATTCTTCCAACCAAATACGTTGCTGTGAACAAACATACCGTTGCTGGAATCTGATCTGTGTACCACCGGGATTTTTTTTTTTAATAACTTCCATATTATTTTTATTGTTCTGATGAACACAACATGATTAAGCACTTAGAAGAGGGAAGCTTATAAATTGTGACTATGGTATAGAAAAATACTGACTGCTGTCTTTAAATACGCTGTATGACTAGCTGTCCTGGAGTTAGACATACTCTAGAATAGTCTCACTCGAATTGCGTTCCCTGCCGGCAGCACAGCCCAACATGTCGGGTCCTGGGGCTTGTATTTCTGGAGCTGGCCACCCCAAGGCTGTGAGTGAGCAGAAGGGAGGGCAAGAGTTTATTTGGCTGCTGGTTTATTGACAACTGTTGCTATGCTGATGGCTGAGGATATATGGCTGAAGACAGGAAATTACATTTTGGGAGAGAGTTTTTGGTTTTACATAGAATAAACACACAAGGACTGCGGGAATTTTACTGCCATGTTATTGTAAGATTTACATTTGTTTAAAGCATGGAGATCTGTTGCTTTTTTGTTGAAGATTAATTCTTTAATTTACTTAAAAGTACATATGAAACTATGGTTTTTACAGGCTTTCCTATTGGTTTGTTTTGAGCTCAATTTCAGCAGTGTTTGAAATCAAGAAAGTTAATTTTGTTTACAGCAAAGATCTCTGATAGCTTATGTAATATTTTTATGTGGATCGGGAAAAATTAAAACTAAAAAATCAAATTTATTTTAAGAAGCCACCTTTCTACTTAAACAAAAAAGAAAAAACAGGCACTGCAAAGGCAAAAGAACAACTTGTGCTTGCTGCAGAGCCTGCATCCAGATTTATCAAGTTTTTGCTTGATTAGTCCTTTAACAGGATAAAAATACAGCCCGAATGATTTGAGCGTGCTGTTCACATGGCTCTCTGAAAGCAGACATTCCTCAAAGTGAACTGGAGAAGTTGTACAGTTAAAGTGCAGTAAAGTTTAAAACCTGATAATTTGCTGAAAGGTGTCTTAAGCTTTTATGTTTGTAGTTTAAGCAGTTGGTGGATGGCTGTCCTGGTCCAGAAAGATAGGAAATGGAAGAAAAACAAAACGGTGGCATTGCTGTTATCTTAAAAATAGCCTTTGAAGGTTTCAGGTTTTCTAGGATTATTTGAAGTATTCAAATGTTTGCAATGATCTATCTGCATATTAGCATCTTACATAAGGATGAGAGCTCTTATGGTGGGGCTGAAAAGTGAAATGGCCACCACTAGAAACCCACTCTTGGCATAGCGAATGTTAATGATCCATTGCTCTTCTTTTATTTTTATTTGTGACTGCAGCAGTGAAGGCCACAGGTTGTAACCTGGAGAAGGTAAACATTCTTCCTAGTGCCTTGATAACTCCACTCATGCCAAGCAGTATGATTAAGAATGAAGATGTGGCTCCAATGGAAGTAAGTGCAGAAAAAAGATCTCCCCCTGTCTTCAAGGTAAGTTCGATGGTGCTCTGAAGACAGTAGCTTTAATAGTCTTAGTTATATCTACTCGTCAGTCCATGTTCTAATAGCGTAGAAGAATAATATACCGGGAAACCGTCATGTCCAAGATCTGGGCAAAACCTGGGATCACAAGAGCATGATTAAAATGACAGACAAGTAACTGACCTTGTTCCCACATTCAAACAGATTGATTGGTTAGTGATACTAGGATGTTTGGGGCTTTTTTTCCCCTGTGACACAGAACTAGTAAATTACTGTAAGAATATTATTTTAGTTGCTTCCTAGCGTTGCTTTCATTAAATTGTACCTTGACTCCTTCCTTGAAGTAGCATTTCCACTGCTAGTCATTTGTTTACTCGTTTGGTTATGTATGAAAAGATACATGGCCATCAAATCTTGTGTGATCTTTCCTGAGTGTAGTGGACTGGTGGAAGTTTTATAAGCATAACCTGACGAAGCTTACGAATTGCTTAATGTATTGCTCTTTTCAGGCTTCAAATGTGGTTGGACCAACTCAACAAACATTGGAAAACAGTATGTCTGGCATATCAACTTCTGCTTCCCATTTACCTTCTGAAACTGAAAACCAGCAACAAATACAGCCGAAGGTGTATAATCCAGAGACACTAACTACCATCCAAACACAGGACATTTCCCAGCCCGGTAGCTTTTCAGCAGTCTCTACTCCGGGTCAGCTGCAGAACAGTGATGCATTATTGCAGCAAGCTGCACAGTTCCAAACAAGAGATTCCCAAACCAGGGAGGTCTTGCAATCAGATGGCACAGTAGTCACTTTGTCACAATTAACTGATGCATCACAACAACAACAGCCTACGCTCTCGGAACCCGCACAGGCGTTGCAGCAACAGATTTCATCAAGTATTTTCTCATCAGCAAGTGGCGTGAGTCAGTTACAGAACACTATACAGCAACTGCAAGCTGGAAATTTTCCAACTAACACTGCCACTGGCAGCAATAGAAATGTTGACTTGGTGCAACAGGTATTGGAAGCCCAACAGCAGTTATCTTCTGTTTTATTTTCTGGTTCAGACAGCAGCGAGGATGTTCAAGATCAGCTAAATGCAGATATCTTTCAGCAAGTTAGCCAGATACAAAATAGTGTCAATTCTGGGATATTTTCCTCATCAGACACAGCTGTCCATTCCAGACCAGAGAACCTCTTGCCTGGACGAGCTGAAAATGTTCACTCACAGCCTGAAAATGCGTTGTCCAATCAGCAGCAGCAACAGCAGCAGCAGCAGCAGGCGATGGAGACTTCTGCAGCAATGGTGATAGGAATCCAACAAAACATTTGCCAAGCTGCAACACAGATGCAGTCTGATTTGTTCTCTTCAACAACTTCAGGGAATGGAGCCCTCCAACAGTCACCCGTTTACCAGCAGGCTTCTCACATAATGAGTGGGTTATCCACAAGTGAAGACATGCAGATGCAGTGTGAATTATTCTCTTCATCTCCTGGTGTTTCTGGAAGTGAGACGACTCCTGCTGCTCAGCAGCAGGTCTCCAACAACGGACCTGCTATGTTTCAGGCATCAAATTCTGCAGATGGAGAAGAAGCTTCAGGTCAGAATAAGCAGATGCAAAATACTGTATTTCAGACAATGGTTCAAATGCAGCATAGCGGAGAAAGTCAATCTCAAGTTAATCTCTATTCATCTACCAAAAACATGATGACTGTTCAGGCAAGTGGAACTCAACAGCAAGGAGGTGGTCTGTTCCAGCAAGGCGGAGAAATCATGTCTATTCAGTCGGGAAGCTTTATGCAGCAGTCTCCACATTCACAGGCTCAGCTTTTTCACTCTCAGAATCCTATTGGTGATGCTCAAAATATATCACAGGAAGCACAAGGCTCTATTTTTCACAGTCCAAATTCCATTGTCCACAACCAGACCAGTACTAATTCCTCAGACCAACTGCAGCCTCCAATGTTCCACTCGCAGAACGCCATGGGTGTATTACAGAGCTCTTCAGTTCCTCAAGACCAGCAGTCTGCCAACATGTTCCTTTCCCAGAGTTCGATGAGCAACCCTGCAACTCAGGAAGAACAGATATCGTTCTTTACAAGCCCAAATTCCATTTCTCCTCTTCAGACAGCAACAAACACTGAACAGCAGACTTCTTTCCAGCAGCAGACACAGATATCTCATATCCAGAGTTCTATGCTTCCCCAAGAACAGCCCCAGACTCAGCCAGCTCAGCAGGGTTTGTTTCAGCCTCAAGTGTCGTTAGGCTCCATCCAGTCCAGTTCAATCCCCCAGAACCAACAAGGAGCTATCTTCCAGCCTCAGCATTCGATAGTTGCTATTCAGAGTAGTCCTCCATCTCAAGAACAGCAGCAGCAGCAACAGCAGAACATGATGTTCAGTAATCAAAATGCAATGAGTACAATTGCTTCTCAAAAGCAGAACATGATTTTCAATCCAAATCAAAACCCGGTTACCAATCAGGAGCAACAAGGCCAGTCCATTTTTCATCCACAGACTAACATGGCATCGATGAACCAGGAGCAGCAGCCCATGCAATTCCAGAGTCAGACTACAGTGTCTTCTCTTCAGAATCCTGGATCCAACCAGGCTGAAGCACAGCAGCCAGCCATCTTCCATAACTCACCCCAGATTCAGTTGGTCCAAGGGTCACCAAGTTCTCAAGAGCAACAAGTCACCCTCTTCATCTCTTCAGCTTCCATGTCTGCCTTGCAGAACAGTATGAGCCAGCAAGAGCTGCAGCAGTCTCCTATGTACTCTTCTCAAAACAGCATGGCAAGCAACAAGCTTCTTTATTTCACAACGCAGCAGGAGGTGCTATCAACCAGCTGCAGAATTCTCCTGCTTCATCTCAGCAAACATCAGGAATATTCCTGTTCGGCATTCAAAACAGTAAGTGGTAGATGCCTGATTCTGAGTTTACAGTTTAGAAGAGCTACTAATTGGAGTCCACAAGACAATGAGTATTCAATTCTAAGACACTTCCTTACAAAAAAAAGAAAATCCTGAAATAAGTAATGTGGCACTACAACTGAGAATATACGTACGCATCATGTCGCTCTGAATGTACGTTTACGCTGCTGATGTTTCATGAAAATCTTAGCTTAAACACCTGTTGGTGGTCTTATGCTTAGGATTAACATGTGAGAAAGCCATCTGTAATTGTGTATGTATTTCTATAGAAACATTACATGTGGTATTATTAACAGTACATATGCAAATAATAGATAAAATACATGTACATGTGTTTAAAAAAAAGGAAAAAGGTTACACCCTCTTAAAGAAAGCTCTGCTAACCTTTCTCTTGCTGCATTTGATTTCCACAATTTATGCAATTCCTCCACACATTCTTGAAAGGATTTTTTTTTTAAAGCTATTGAAGTGTATTTGAAACTCCTTTAACTTCATAAGCTGGCACTTTCCCCTATCTCGTCTCTGAATCTAACCTCTATGACAGGTTCTGTGGGATGTAGATGCTTTCATCTGTCTGTAAAGGGCTGTACGTGCCTGTGGAGCTCCAGAAGTAGCCGATGCAGATGGTGATTATAGGATCTCATAAAAGATCAGGACAGAAAGCCGTAGCTGTGTATGTAGTCAGTGGTTAGGTGTGAATATGTGCTTTGCTGTTTGAAGTCTGACAGTCAGGCCATACACAGCCAAGCCTTTCCATGATGCTGAAAATAACGCTGGAAATGGTAGGAGATGCGACACCACTTGCAGATTTACAGAAGGAGCCAGTGGATACCTCGGCCAAACTGAAAACCACATCTGTAATTAATAAAGACGAAGGATAGGCATACTCTACACTTAGGCCATGCATTTTGGTTTTCTTCTAGCTAAGTATTGTCCTGTTCGGGGTGTTAGTAGCATTTGGTCATAATACAGGGTGCCTACAGTCAATATGTGCTCCTTGAACTTGTGCTTATACCCTGAGGGAGTGGTGAGCAAAGTGGTCATGTGAACAAAAGTGCATGTAACTTTCTGCATGGTTTATACGGATATGTGTAAAGTTGGCTACTTCACTGCATGTAGTAGCCTAACTTAACCTGTCCTTTGTTCTTCACTTACTGCTTAACAGACTGTGGGCAGCTGCTAACCTCTGGACCAGCTACGTTGCCGGATGAGTTGATGGCTATCAGCCAGCCAGGCCAGCCGCAGAGCGAGGGGCAAGCAGCCGTGCCCGCCCTGCTCTCCCAGCAGATCTCTGAGACCTCCCCGCTACCTTCGGCTATGGCAACCAATCAGAATATTGAGAAAATAGATGATCTGCTTGTGTCACTGCAAAACCAGGGGAACAATATGGCTGGCTCATTTTAATTAGTCAAGTAAGTAATGTGTTTGGGTTTCTGGGTTCTTTCCTGCCACGCATTCTTTTCTTTAGTAAGTCGTTACTTCGGGGTGTATCACCGTGCTCCGAGTACTGGTACTGCTGAATTAAGAATATAACACCAGTGGCTAGAAGGAAGAGTTAGTAAAAACAGTCAGAGGTCAGAATTTGTATGAAACAGTTGATGGAGACTGGGTCTTGTCATTCAATTGCTGTGTGTTTTGTCATCTGCTGTTACAGTCGAGTACTTTATTAGGAAGGAGATGAGATCACTGAGAGCTTGGCAGATAAAAGCGTTATGAAATATGACTGTAGTTAAAAACTTAAGGCTTATTGAGTAAATAACACCTCAAGTCTGTACTATTCTGAAGTTGCCCCCTGGATTACAATAGCATAATGTGAAAAGAAGTTTTGGTGGAATATGGCAGCTGTTGAGAAGTGAGCTGTCAGATCGGCTGTTACTAGGAAACGCCCTGTGCCTTTTTCGGAGGGGTGAAAGAGGCTTTGGCTACAAATGAGTGCCAAGAACCAGGAGGACTCTGGAATCTAGCATTGTCCACAGTGTGTAACTTGGCTCTAGTTAACTGTGTTGCCATCCTAAATCCTCCATAAGTTTCACTTGAGTGATCTGCTCCATTTTCTGATCTAGACTGGTTTGTATGCGAAGCGGTACTCGCTCGTAGTTTTGTGTCTGCTTGTGAAGGACACTTCCAAGGTGAAGGAATTGCACAGAAGTAAGAGGATGACCTCTGTTCATTATGCCTAACTTTTTTGCTTGCTTGTTTTTTTTCCTGCAGAAATTCTGTGAAGAAAAAAGTGATGATTTCCCAGATCCTCTCAGACCTTCCGAGACTGGATTAGGCTGTCTGGAACTGATTGCTTCTGTCAAAAAGTGGCCCTCTTCTCTAAAGAGCACACACGTGGCCAATTGCAGCGTCTAGCACCTGAGGCTATGACCGTAGTATTTGGGATTTGTAGTGCCAATAATGCTGAAAAGCTATGCTTTGTTTTACTAGGGCATGGGATTGTACTGTTACGAGATTCCTAAACCTCACCAACAGTGGGGTGCTCTTTCAAGTTAAAGCATATCTGGTCAGTTATTATTGTTGTTAGAAGGTAATACGTGTTACCGCGTTTACTTTTTTCCCCTCCTCTTCCTTCTTCACATCCCCTCTTTTGACTAGAAAAGCTTGTGAAGCAGAAACATCAAATGCCTGTGACATGAGCCGTGACTCATAGCTGTCAGTAAGTGAAGGGATCGCGTGTTCTACAGCTGAGTGGGAGAGCCGATACTGTGATTTGTTAATTGCAGTAGGTGGCAATGAAAAATATTGATAACTGTAATAAGCAGAGAATCGCTTGCTACTGTAGATAGCCAGAGGTGGGGGCTTCCCATCTGAATGTGATTAACAGTTTTCCATGTCTCTTAGGTGTAACTGTGCATAGAGCAAGGGTTGGGTGGCTCTAACAAAATGAAGAAATTAAGGGGAACTTTCAGTTAAATTTTTCTCTTACAATCTTATCCTTTAAAATACCTTCAGCTTGAAAGGAACATTCTGCCTGGCTGAGGAAAGAACTGCGCTGTCTCTCGCTGACTGTATGGGTTAGGACTCGGTAAAGCTGCATTACCCATTCCCAGACCAGTCCTCTCTTCTCCCTTTCATTCTTCTCTTGGTTTCCCTTCTCTCTCCCTCAGTTTCATACTGTGTTTTTTAAAAAAAGACATAAATATCCTACTGGCTTTAACGATCAGAAGCAGCTTTTAGGAATCCTTGGCAGTAAATTGCTTAGTCGGGAGAAGCTTTGACAAATAATCAAGGGTTAAGGAAAGAGGAAGCAATTCCTCCTCCACCTTCTCAATGCAGGAATCCCCCTTAACCAGTCATTTTCCAGCTGTTACTGATGTAAATCTTGACTTTACTCCAAGTAGGGGGCAAATGCCATCATTTTTAAGCATTCTTTAAAATTTCACTTCATCCCGAGCTGTTGCATCTTTGTAGCATATTGAGCTCGTTGCAGTTTTGAAGTGATTTTTTTTTTTCTTTAATACCAACAGTCCCCAAGTCTGGTTTCTAGATTGCCACCAACAGTCCCCAAGTCTAGTTTCTAGATTGCCATGTCTCAATTAAAAAAAAAAAAAAAATTGACGGATGTTACAGAATGTAGAAACAACCCACTCCAGACCATGCAGCTGTATTGCGAGGCATGTGAATTTTTTGGGTGCTCCAACTCTCTGGACGGTTTTGTGCTGTCTCACTACAGCCTCCTGCAGATCCTCGTTTCTTCTCCTTCTGCACGTAGAAAGCTGTTGCCGCAGTTAGAGCCAAACAGCTGCCGTGTATGGCTGTTATGCCTTGGTAGAGTGTAGTTGGTATCACGTCATTTTTCATTTTTGTTATTTTAAATAACAAGGAACAGTCTGTAAATGGTTTTTAAGTTACTCTAGTCTGTTTACTGTGTGTTTTTTCCCTTAACGTGTGTGCGTAGTTGAGCCGTGTAGAGTTTTTGTTTGTTTTAATGGTTTCTCCTGTTTGTCCGTCTGTCATAACGTTCACTTTCTCTTTCTGTCTCTCTCTTTCTCTCTCTCATTGAGAGGCATTGAATTACGTTTTCAGTAGTAAGGCTTCTTGCCGATATGAAGGGAACTTTTCAGAAAGAGACCTGCTCTGGGTCATTTAATTTTGAATACAGTTTTCAATCGTTCAAGTTTTGGATGGTTTATATCTAATGTGTGTTTCATTTTTTTGGAAAGCTATATTTTGTATTTAGGAAATGGTATACTATTTTGCTATTTGTACTGAGTGAGTACATTGGCATAAATATAAAAATTTATATATATACATATATATAAAATATTCTTTTTGCCACACATTTTTGTGGTAAATTTGTGAGTTTGTCTGATGTTCTACCACAACGTGGCGTCTGATAACAGTGGGGTGGGGTGGGGTTTGTTATGTCTTTATTGAGTATTTAAGTACTTTTTGCAACATAAATAACTTGTTCATCTCTCGCCATTCCATCAGGCAATTTATTGTTCCAACTGGCTATGAGAAGCTTCACTGTGTGCTTTGATGTGTCTGTCACTCAGCAATACAATCTAGCGAGGAAACCCGTAGGCATGTAGGTGTATATGGAATAACGGGGTTTCATTCAGAATGAGCCATTCAGCTTTTATCCACTATCATTGTCTATTTAATATTTTATTACTAGCGCCTCTGTGTTTTAACTCTTAATTTATGATTATGCTAAAATTTAAAAATTTTAATCATGATAAAAAGAATTCCCTGCTTCATAATGTCCAGAGCTGCTTTATAACCCTGAACCATACTTTTTCTTTCTGTGATTATTTTTTTGTCCCCCCCCCTGCTAAGCCAAAATATCAACAAAATCCTGTTACGGTTCATGACGTGAGAGCCTAAATGCTGTGTGAGGCTTTGTAGAAGACTGAGGATTATGGACCGAAACAACTTCCAGATGGCCGTGGAAGTCGATAGCCAGTTACTCCGAAATGAACCGGTGGCTTTTGCAGGATCGCAGTCCCAGGACAAGCTGTTGGGTGTCGTCATCTGGGGCCTTTATACACAGAAGAAGTAATAGGAATGATGAATTCACTCGCGTGCTGCTTCAGTTTGTTCCGTTGTTCCGAAGGGGTGTATCCTCATGTTCAAGTGCTGTTGGTCAGTGCCAAGTCACCAGGGACCAATTCTCCATTTAACTAGTTGGGTGTCCAAAAGAGAACGTCATACCAAGACCGCTACCGCTGCAGCTTCAGGGGAAGGGTATGTCTGAATCGTGTGCGTGTTTTAGGTCGCTTACGAAGAGAAAGGAAAAAAAAAAAAAAGAAAAAAAATGAATTTAAAAAAAAAAAAAAAAGGGCTGTGCTATCACATTTTTCACTTCGGGATAACACCTTTCTTTTCTTGTTGTTAAATTTACCTTGTTCGTTTTAGGTCAATGTTTAAATGTACAACACTTTGAACATGTGATTTGGTTACAAAAAGTATTTGTCTTACGAACGAAGAGATTGCTCAGCGGTTGACGAGTGCTTGGACGGCTGCTTGCCAACAGCTGCTGCAGAGGACGAAGAGAGGCTGGGTAAGAGCTTAAGGACAGGCCGCAGGATTTCATGGCAGAAAGACCCAAGAACAGCGTGAGCCACATCTGTATTTTATCAGAGTCCCGAACATTTACTTTTTAAGCAGTTGATACTGATAATTGGAGCTTACTCTGCTTTTTAATCTTTTTTTTTTTTTTTTTTTTTTTTTTTAATCCCCATTTTTTCTCCTCCTCCTGCTCGCACTGGCGTGCCTGTTGGCCGTGAGCAGAGGGGGTGCGTGCCCGCAGAGGTGGGGTGGTGGTGTCAGGTCTGGTCCATTTTGGTTGAGGAAGTTAGGAGATACCGAGACATTCGTCTCTACAAACGTAAAGTTCCCGACATTGTTATAAAGGGGAAGTTGCTGTCGTGTTCACGAAGCAGCAGTTAAATACAGAAGGTGTTACTGGGCGAAAAATGAAAAACTGCAGAGCTGCCCTGCTGGGATGGGTTTTCTGTGTCTTGTGTTTCCTGCTGCTCGAGCTCGCTCTTGAAGGATCCTTAAATCCGATCCTCCGTGTTAAACGTGGGCTGTACTCGCCAGCCGTGTATGCCTCCGCAGCACCCGTGGCCACGCTCCGCACAGCATCCCTGGTACGTGCTGCTTTACAGAACAGAGAGTTCTCGGCACAGATTAAAATCTGGGGAGATGTACCTGCTAGCCGCCAGTCCTGACTGCTGCGTGTGTTCTCTTGCCCGCCTATACACTGTGTGTGTGTGTATAAATCATAGGAGTAGCACACAATACACAGTTATTAGCTAAACATCTCCTCTGCTGGGAGGTTACGGGTGCTTTGTGCTTAACGAGCAGGTCCATGTTTTGTTATTAATTGCCTCTTCACTGTCTGATCTCTCAGCGGTTATTCAAGCCAAATGCTTTGCTATAATTTTAACATAAAAATAGTTCAAAAAATAATTTCAGCCTTGCTGTTTCAAAGTGGATGTTTAATCACCAACCATTTTATTATAATTACTTTTAATTACTGACAGGGTGGTTAATTCCTACTTAGTTTTAAGCTAGAATAAAGCATGAACAGTTACGTGTTTGTTACTTTGGCAGGTTTTTTTTACTGGAAATACTGAGTCTGGGCAGCTCTATCAGTGGACATTCCCCTCATTTAGATAAGTTGAACTTTTTTTAAAGCTTCTGTTGCGATTTTGATTTAGGATGTAGTTTCTAAAAAGAATAGGTTTTGTACTCTTACTCTCTTTCCAGAGTCCTCAGAAAGAACATGAACCAAGTCAGACGCTTGCGTTTGCCTTAGAACGTAGTTTAAATCACTGTTTGAGTAGCAGGAAAGGTGATCTATCAAAAAGCCAAATTAAAAAAGTCGTTATTGGACTACAAAAGCTACATGCAGTTTCCCCCAAGGGGTGTGTGTGTGCAGGTGTGCACGTGCATTCATTGGAAGTTAGAATTTTCAGTTTTTTTGAATCTCAAGCCTCTGTCTGGCAAAAGTCAGGTTACTGTGTCAGGGTGATTCCAGGAGAGGAGTACAAGGGATTACGGACATTTATCTGAGCAGTGGAACAAGAACAAGAGAATTGCTTTGCATGCTCCGAGCTATGAGTTGGGGGTGGAAGGTGAGAAGAAGAAATATTGATGACTTCTCAGTAGTGCGAAATTTATTTTCAAGGAATATTTGTGTTCCAGAGAGCCTGCTGGCAGCTCCGCTATTTTAGAAGCTGAAAGGAAACTGGTACTGAGATGCTCTGCTTGTCTGGGGTTTTTGTCTTCATTTGGGGCAGTCTTTGGGGACAGACTGTGAGCGCTTCGTGTTCAGACCAGTTGTGCCAGTTGGATGTGGCAGTAGCACCCGAGCCTGCAAATGGGTGCCTGTGCCTGCTGCGGGCTGGGAGTTGAGCGTAGAGGATCCCTGCTGGAAACGCGATAAATGTTATTTAGGTACGAGGAGAAATGCAGCAGTGGATAAACACCTGTAATAGTGTGCTCGTAAAATTGTGTATGGGGCTCTGAGGGGTCACGCGGGAGGGGAGGCTTTTCCTTTCTTACAATTTGTATAGGTATGTAAATAGGCAATGCCTGTATATTCTAGGGTTATATATATGTATATAGAGGAGTCATATATCTATTATATATAAATAATTAGTAGACATGCATATAATACTGTTACATTTACATTTTTATAAACCCGAAACAATACTACTTTTCCTTAGGATGAGGTTATTTACTGAGGTTTTTGTAGTAACTCCTCGCTAGTTGTATGAACACCTTTCAGTACTGTACACGTGGCGCTGTTGTCGCTCCAGAAGCTTGCTCTGCTTGTGAACGTCACTAATACCCATGGGTTTAAAACAGCTGTACACTTTTGTATTTTTATATATTTTTTTATTAATAATTGCAGATGCAGTGTTAGCGAAAGGGTAGAACTGACAGCCGGGGCTGAGAGCCTGCCTGCCAGGTGGGCTCAGGGAACGCAGCGGCAGCAGCCCAGGCTTCCTGCATCCGCCTGCTCCCCTGCCACCTTCCCCCAGGTGACTCCTGATTTCGGGACCTTTCCCCTTCGCAGTCTCCCAGCAGCTCATGCCGATAGGGAATAGCGGTGGTCGGGTCGCTCCGGAGGAGCTGGGCGGACACCAGTGTCTCTCTCCCAGCGGGGGTTAGTAATCCTTGTGCAGCAAAGAGCCCGGCTGCTGCCCAGCTGGGTCAGTTTGGATCGGGAAGGTCCCTCTTCTCTCTAGTCTGATAAAGGCAGGCATCTTTATTTTTTTTTCTTTTTTTTTTTTTTACTGACTTTGCACTGCAGCAGTCACACTCTAGAAAACCCTCTCCTGGAAAGCTGGTGACAGCTCTCCTTGGTTTCTAGCTGTGAGGAACCTGCCCCAACTTGCACCGATTTCTTACAGATTGTGTGAGAAATAAAAAGAAATCCAGATCATAAAATCAACAGTGTGTGCTTTGTCCGCCACGACTCTTCATGCCACATGGGGTGTGTTCCACTGCAGGGTGGCATTAGGTCGCTGGAGAGATGGGATTGTCCTGGTGCAGGCTTTATCAAAGCACCTCTGCCAAAGCAGGTGTCCGTGTT